AAGATGACGCAGGCGAAGGAGGCGAAGATGAGGCCGACCATCTCGTCCGTCGCCCCCTTCGCCTTCGCCTCCTGCGGGAAGAAGGCGGCGAGGATCGAGAAGACCGAGTGGCAGCCGAGGTTGGTCAGGTTGATGGTGAGCAGCAGCAGCATCTTGTTAGAGCGGAGCAGCGCGTGGGTGTTCCCTTCGGACGAGTAGATCCACGAGATGCGGAGCGAGCGGCGGGAGGCGCAGTGCATCAGCGCGAAGCCGCCCAGCACCGCGAAGGCGGCGGTGAGCAGCAGGTCGCGCAGCAGGCCCGGCCGGTTGGTCAGGGCGATCGAGCCCTCCGAGCCAAGCTGCTGCCCCGCCGGCCGATCCCACGCCACCGGAGCGACGGCGAGCGCGAGGCCCGCCGGGGTGCGCGCGAAGCGGCCGGTGCGCACCCGCCAGCGCGCCTCGCGGTGGTGGTGGTGCGGCGCCGCTGTCGCGTTTGCGCGCTCGTGCGGCCGCCGCGGCGTGGCCTGCAGCGATCGCGACCCGTTGCGCTCGGCAGAGCGACGGCCACGGCGGCGGGACCCGTCGTTGAGCGCCAGCAGCCGGCCGTGAGCGTCGTCCGAGGAGAGGTTGCACGGCAGCGGCTCCGTCGCGTTGTTGCTGCCGTGGCCGACAAAGGCGACGCTGCAGAGAAGCAGCGCGGCGGGAAGCATGCGGGCGGACCGCTTGCGGGCTCTATGGGCAGGCGAACGTGAGCAGCGCGCGACAAGTGGGCCGGCCCGGCAGTACAACAAAAAGAATTTTCTGACGAAATTTTTTAGAAAATAAGGCACGGGCCCTCAGGAGCTGGGAAGAGGACCGCCGCAAGCGGCGTGGCGTGGAGCGGTTGTGCATCCCTCCGGGGGCCCCTCTGCGCCGGGGAGGCGTTGTTGGAGGCTAGGACGCAAGCGTCCGTCGCCCTTTTCAAACTCGGGGCCCACTCCGCTACGCTCCGACCCGAATTTGGAGGGCCTAAAAGTTTAAGGTGTTGCTGCGCAAAAGGGGTCGGACACCGGGCGCAGCTCATGCTAAGAGCTAGAAGAGGAGATAGAGAGAACAACCACCCTGTCCCGTTATTGCGTACACCAACACCACAAAACGCTCTCTCTCTCTCCTGTCCTCACTCAGGGGGGTCACAACTACCAAGTCCCTCGACTAGCTGCCACAGGGCGCAGCTGCCACAGGGCGCAGCTGGAGACGCTCCCCCTCAATCGGCATCCACCCCCACCCGCTCCAGCCCCACTTCTGCTGCCGAGAGAGCTGAATCGAAGCAAGCGAGCCATTGCATCTTGGCGTGCTCCTGGAGCGCGGCTTTCTGCGGCCACGAGCACGGCGGAGTCGGCGTCGTAGCGCGCATCGTTCCCGCTCATCGCCCATTCCTCCCGTGACGTGTGTCGGCCGCGATTCGATGTCGCCACCTTCATCGCCAACGAGGACTCCCTCGACTGCAGGGGGGCTCCGGCGCGGGGAGGGACTCCGCCTGCTGCGCTGGCCGACTGCGCCCTCCTCCTCCATGGGATCGATCCGATTCCGCAGCGGCGGTGCTGCGCGGGAGGCGGCCGCGGGCACGCTGGGCTCGATCAGCGGCTTTCCCCTCAGGTAGCGCGAAGAGCACGGATTTGGCGAACGTTCTGCTTTCAACTTTACGGATGTCTTGGCACCAGCTGAAGGCTTGGGTCCGACATCGCCGGATTCGTGCACGGTATTCGGATTTTGGCTCGGGGCACTGTTCACGCCGGAAGGCCCCGTACACTGCCAAGTACATTAGCCTTCATCTCTCCTACCGCCGGCCGGGAGTGCAGCCGCCACCAGTGAGATTGTCCTCGACGTTGGCACCTGCGAAGTAATGAACAACAGGCAGTGCGTCATATGGCGCTATGATAGCCCTGCGGTGGACGTCCTCGACGCAGACGAGGCGGAGCTCATCTGCGCGGCGCAGATCGCCGACTGTCTCTCCCTCCCTGCGCGAGTGGTTGCACCACCCTGGATGAGGCATCTGGGCTGGGGCAGGGCCGTTAGTAGAGGAGGGCGACTGAGGGCGCGAGGCCGCCAATCGTCAAAGTCTGCTGCGACTGACTGTCGGTCACTGACTGAGCAATGAGCAATCGCATCGGCGGTTTCACTCACGCTCACAATCGGGTTACATCCAGGTCTCTGTGCGGGATGTGCTGGGGGGCTGCCCCCCAGTCGATTGCCGCATAGTTCGTCGATGTAACCCTACCAGAAAGCTGTATTCACACCTACCCTTCCAAAAAAAGAAATGTCCGGCTTTTGTCGAAGATCCGGGGGTTTATCGGAGCATCACCCTTCTCCTCTTTGCTGCGCGCCGACGAGAGGGTCCTTTCCAGCCTGTATCAATCTGACCCGTCTCCGATGGTATTTTGCCAACATTCCCTAGGTAGGTAGGTAGGTAGAAAGGTGAAGAACAGCCAGGCTCGGACTGGACACCAAGGCGGTATGGGTGGACGCAAGACAGATGATGACGACACGCCTTGCGACACACATTCCTACAGGGGTCGTAAAAGAAAAACACCGGCAAAATCGCGCCCGAGTCCACGACCACCCACGAGCGCCCTCGTCTCCTCGCCCTGTGCTCATGTCTCGCCCCGAGCGGACGGCCGCGGCGCAGGCCTTCTACGACCCTGCCGAGGCGGCAAAGTACAGCGCGAGCGCGCGGATGGGAAGGACGCAGCGGCACCTCGCCGAGCGCGCGCTGCACCTCCTCGACATCCGCCAGCCGGGCGCGCTGCTGCTCGACCTCGGCTGCGGCACCGGCTACTCTGGCGCGCCGCTCGAGCGCGCCGGGCACGCGTGGGTCGGGCTCGACCTCTCCGAGTCCATGCTGCGCGCCGCGCGGGCGCCCGGCAAGAGGCGCGACGTGCTCTGCGCGGACCTAGGAGCTCCGCTCTGGCTGAGGCGGCGCGTGTTCGACGGCGCCGTCTCCATCTCCGCGGTGCAGTGGCTGTGCCACGCGACGGCGAACGGGCACGACCCGGCGAAGCGCGTGCGCACCTTCTTCCGCGGGCTCAAGGCGGTCCTCGTCCCGGGCGCGCGCGCGGTGCTGCAGCTCTACCCCGAGCAGCCGGAGCACATGGGTGAGCGGGAGGGGCGAGTGAGGGGCGAGCGAGGGGCGAGCGAGAGGGGAGCGCATCGCGGCCCTCCCGGGGCAGCCCGAGAGACGGCGGCCCGGGCCTGAGCCTCCGCCCCTGCCCCTCCGCCGCCGCGCAGGGATGCTTCGAGACGCGGCCGTCGCCGCCGGCTTCAGCGGCGCGGTGCTGTCTCGCGAGGTGCCACACTGGAGGCACGGTCGGACCTTGCTCGCCTCTCGGCCTAGGCACGCTCGTCGTCGACTACCCGCGCTCCGAGCGGTCAAAGAAGCTCTTCCTTGTGCTGACGTCGCCGAACCAGGCGGCGGCGGCGGCGGGCGGGAGGAGGCGCGCAGTGGAGTCGGTCGGCGGCGGAGGCGGCGCGAAGGGGGGCGGGGGAGCGGGCAAGCGCCGGAAAGGGGCGGCTGCACCCGGGGGCGGAGGCGGCGCAAAGCGGCAGCGAGCGGCGGCGGACGGCGGTGGCGGCGCGAAGCGGAAAGGAGGGAGGTGAGAGTGGCGAGCGAGTCGGAGAAAAATCGCAAATCCGAATGCTTCTGGGTGCTGCGTGCTCGATTGCTTGTTTCTTCTTCTCGATCTCTTTCGGGCGCGGTTTTTTATTATTATTCTCTTAGACTTTGCCATTGATTATACCTCTTCTTCGCCCCGTACGCTGGGGGCCCCAGCCCACCTCCCACACCTTGGCGCGTCATCGCGGTTGGGCCAGGTACCAATTTTGTCGAACTTATTTCAAAATCTGCAGGCGCGGAGCGCCTGCGAAAATTTTGAATAAATTTGCTGTGTGGAGTTGGGGGGTGGCGGGTGGGTTAGGTTAGGGTTATTAGGGTTTAGAGGGTTAGGGTTAGGGTTAGGGTTAGGGTTAGGGTTAGGGTCAGGGTCCGGGTTCGTCTTGTTGTGTCTGTATATGCCAGCGTTGCAGGGTTCTGCGCTGGGATCTGGCCCCACAGCGCCGACACGACTAAGACTCAGCCCCGCACGCTGACCTAGGGTTAGGGGTTAGGGTTAGGGTTAGGGTTAGGGTTAGGGTTAGGGGTTAGTCTTCTTGTGTTTGTATGCCAGAGTTGCAGAGTTCTGCGCTGGGATCTGGCCCCAGCGACGACGAGTAAGACTCAGCACCGCACGCTGACCCCACCAAATGCCGCCTCAGGGCGCCAGGCCGCCAGCCACCTCTTACACACGCGGCCGGCGCCCTCTCGCGGCAAAAGGGTCGAGCGAGCGGGCAGAGTCGCGATGTCTGCGCACCCGCGTGCCGATGGGCGGCACACGCAACCGAGAGAGGCCCTGTCGCGCCGCCAGTAGCGTTCTCCGCACTCCCCACGCCACCAATTGCCGCCTCAGGGCGCCAGCCACCTCTTACACGCCGCGGCCGGCGCCCTCTCTGAGGTGCACGTGTTCACGGGCAAGACGACTCGCGCAGATCAAATGACCGGCAGCGACGTGTATAGGTGTACTGGTAGTGGGACATGCCTGCGCCAATACAGGGGCCCAGGCCGACGTCATTCTCGATGATTACTGCGGCGAATTGCCTGTCGATCTGCTCCTCACCCTGCTGGACAGGTATGCATATCTCCAATGCCGACGAGTCGTGATCACCTCAAACGCTCCTCCCGAGAGGTGGTATTCAGATCTCGACGACAACACAAAAAGAGCTCTCGTCTGCGCCGCTTAGGCCAACTAGCCAGTGACCAATCGCTCGGGTACACCCACATCACAACCACGCACACGTGATGCCTCTCATTACGGGTCTGTACCAACCGCGGTCCAGTTGAGTCGGTTGCGTCGCTCAGACGCGTTCACGTGAGCCGTGACTGGTGTGTGGAGGCTGGAGCGCACGCGGCCGAAATAGACCGTGTAAGTAAGTGATCAGTAACCAGCCTCCGGCGGGGCCCCCCAGCTGCACGCGCGGGCGGACGGATTCGGACGGGGCGGAGCAGCGACCGCCTGGGCGGCCGCTGCTCTGTCTGCCCTAGGTCCTGCTGGGGGCGCGAGGCCATGGAGAGAGCGCGTAGATGCCTCGTGCGTCTCCAAAAGAAGAATTCTATTGCCTGCTCGACGCCAGGCCTTCTCTTGCCTCTCTCCGCGGCCTTGTTGCGGCCTTCTCCCGCCTTCTTGCGGCCTTCTCCCGCCTCTCTCCGCGCTCCTCTCTCTCCGCTCTCCGCGCTCCGCCGGTCAGCCATTCCCCGCCTACTGCTCCTCGCGCTCGTGCCAGCCATGGCCTCCAAGCAGGAGGCACTGGTCGCGTCGTACAAGGCCGCAGTCGCAGCGCACCAGGCTTCGGAGCTTGACACCGCACTCGAGCACTACCGCGCTTGCGTGGCGATCAAGTCCATCCCGGCAGTGCACAACAACATGGCTGCAATCCTGCTGAGCCAGGGCGACAAGGCCGCGGCCGAGGAGAACTGGCGGCTCGCGGTCGAGGGCAAGCCGGATTATGCCGAGGCGCACTTCAACCTCGCAGTCGTGCTGTCGGAGAGCGGCGACGATGCCAAGCTGGCCGAGGCGCGGCGGCACTGCGAGCTGGCGATGGAGCACAAGGAGGGGTACGTCCAGGCCCACCACCTGATGGGCAACATCCGCATGTCGCAGGGCGCGCAAGAGGAGGCGACGGGATGGTACGCAAAGGCGGAGGCGCTCGGTGGCTCGGCGGCGGCGCCGGCGCCGGCGAGCTTTCGGTGGGAGGGCGTCGAGGTGGGGCACGTGCGCACGCTGCGGCTGCCCGACGGCACGTCGTGGAGTATGCAGACGCTCTCCCTCCGCCCGCTCTCCTTTTTGGTGCGCGACTTTCTGAGCGAAGACGAGTGCGAGCGGCTGATTGGCCTCGCAAGGCCGCGGCTGCAGCAGTCGTTGACGATGGGCAACGCGTCGGCGAGCGAGCGCACCTCCGAGAGCGTCTTCCTCCCGGCGGCGGAGGACGGCCTGCTGCGCGAGCTGCAGGAGCGGCTCTCCGCGCTGACGCGGCTTCCGCTGCAGCAGGTGGCCGGCGGGGAGGACATCCAGCTGGTCCACTACTCGCAGGGGGCGGCGTTCGGGATGCACCACGACTCGTCCGCCTTCCTCCCGCGCCTGCTCACCGCCTTTTACTACCTCAACGAGGTCGAGGGCGGCGGCGAGACCGCCTTCCCCGCCGCCGACGGCGCGATGAGCCCAGACGAGGCGCTGGCCCTGGCCGAGCCGGCGGCGGCGGGCGGCGGCTTGGTCGTGAAGCCGGCCCGCGGCGCGGCGCTGCTGTGGTACAACCACGGCGAGGACGGCAGCAGGGACGCGTGCGCGGTGCACGCTGGCTGCCGCGTGACGGCCGGCGAGAAATGGGGAGCGAACCATTGGGTGCGCGTTCGAGGTGCCACGCCGGGAGAGGAACCGTCTTCGTAGCGGCTTAAAAATCAATTTGACTTTTTGACTTTTGCGAGACACAACCCACACGTGACCCAGAGAGACATATAAAGCCGTATGCGGTATCGGGGAGAAAGATCGGCTCTGAGGGCCGAGTAGGAGGGGTCTAGGTTACCTCTACCTCTGAGGGCCTGCGGCCCTCTTACCTTTACCTCTGGGCAGCCGCGGGCCCTTTACCTCTACCTCTGAGCGACGTAGCCGTGATTTACCTGTGCGTGATATCTCCAGTGATCTCGAGTGATCTCGCAGCTATCTCGTATTAATTTTGTTACATATTAGAAAAAAATAGAACGGCGTCCTCACCCTCTGATGACTCACCCTCCGACGCCTCACCCTCCGATGACTCGCCTGCTAACGCCTCGCCGCTCCCCGCAGCGGTGCCGGCGCCGGTCCGCCAACGGGAGAGGATGTCGTCAACCAATCGATTGATGGCATGCTCTTTAGCCGACTGCTGTACATCGGTCGCCTTGCCGAGTACCATCAGACGACCCTGCGCGTCGGCCGCCTCGCACGCAGCCTTGAGGCGACTCGCCTCTGGCACCGACGCGTCGTCGAGCGTCGCGACGAGCGGGGCGTCCAGACCGAAGGGGCGGAGCTGAGACTCGAGCTGCAGAAGTTTGTCTTGAGCAGAGCGATCGCCTCGCGTCGCCGGTGCTGCAGCGGCTCGACCTTCTCTCGCTCGGCGCGGTCGGCGTCACCCTCACCCAAAGCCTGGAGAGATGTGTCCACACGCGCTAGGAAAGACTCAAAGTCGACGAGCTTCGCTCTCAACTCGACGAGCTCGCGCATCTGCCGCCCATGCTCGGCCGACGGCACGCGAGGCGCACACGATACCTCTGGGAGCCGCAGGTACTCGGCCAGCGCCCGGGGCGTGGTCACCTTCGTCTCGTCGAGCGCCTCTGGCAGCACGCGTTTGAGGACGGCATTCCCCAAGTGGCACTGGAGGGCCTGGCTCAGCTTGAGAAGGTCCATGTCGCCTGGCGCGAGGAAGGAGTCGGCCGTGATCTCTTCTGCGAGAAGGAACTCCTACAACGTGAAAGTCGGAGCGGTGACTCGCGGTGGGGAGCGGCGGAGTGACGGAGAGGGGGAGGAAAGGAAGAGCTCTATTCAGGCGAACGGTGAACAAGTGCGGGTGAAATTGGGGCGGTGGGGAGCCGGGGGATCGCTCACATCGCCGGCATCGCGCAAAACCTCGGTGACGGCCTTGATCACGGCGGTTACTGCGGCCTGCTGCTTCTCCTGCGACTGCTGCGATGTGCGGGCAGCGAGATTGGCAAACATGCTCGGCCGCGCAGGCTCTGTCGCTTGTGCAGCTAGGTGCTGGGCCGCCGCCGCCGCCTGAGGCGTGAGTTTGACAATGGCGCGCGCCGAGTTGGTCACGTGGATAACCGAGCGTGGCACCTCGAGAGCCTGCATCGCATGTAGAGGCTGCTGCTCGAGGTACGTGACGATCGCGTCGTCATCCGCGATCGGCGTGATGACCTGCGCGCCGGACAGCACCAAGCTGTACCGCAGCATGACCGTATTGTCAAGCCTCAGCCCGGACGCGATCGAGGACTCAAACGATGCGCGGGTCGGCCGCACCAAGCCGTCGAAGGTCAGCCGGATCAGCTTGGGATGGAAGAAGCTGTCATTCCCCAGGGGCAGCGGGTCCGACTGGCCCGGCCTGCCGTGGAAGTCGGCTTTTGAGAAGCCCTCGGAGCACCGACTCTTACCAAAAAGACCGTGATGGTCGTGGTGGTGGCAGCGGGTGGCGCAGCGGTGGTGGCGGCGGTGCCTGCGGCGGCGGCACCTGGCAGCTGCGGTGGCGGTGGAAGCGGCGGCGGCGGCGGTGGAGGCGGCGGCGGCGGCGGCGGTTGCTGCAGCTGAGGCTGAGGTGGCTCCCAGCTGGTCCCGCCAGTGATGGAATTGCCGTAGTAAGTGCGGCCATCAGGGGCCTTGAGCGCCTGCCAGCCGCTTGGGAGATGCGGCAGCGGCGGGAGCGGCGGTGGCGGAGGCGGCGGAGGCGCTGGATCGGGCCGCTGCCAGCGCGTCTCCTGCGTGCTCGTGTTAATGTAGTAGGCGCTGCCGTCCAGCGCCGTCGCCTCAATCCAGCCGTCGGCA